GGGGAGGCGGCGGCGGGGGGACAGGCGTGCCCGGGCCGTCGTGTCCACGCGGGGCCAAGAAGGCGCCCCCTCAGGAGCAGCCACTTCCCTGCCAACCGGGAACTCTCCGCGTGGCCGGAAGACCCCACCGGGCGCAACAAGTTGCAAAAGGAAGGAGGCGACCCTATTTCGACCCGCGAAGGGGAAAGTATTGGGGGAAAAAATCCCTCCGGAGGGAACCAACCGACGTGACCCTCCCGCCCAAGCCAGAGGCCCACCTCTCGGCTGACCTGCAGGCGCCTGCCGGGGTTCCGACGGGGCTCCGCGGGGACCGCTAAGCCACGCCCACCACCAGGGTTCTCAGCAGTCAGCTGACCCGCCGAAGAGGTGGGGCCTCGTGGCTGGGAGGCCTGGTTGTCCGGGCAACGGAGGCCCCGCCCCCTCGGTTAGCCGGGCCCTGAGGACCAAGGCCGAAGAAGGGCCGGGAGGTAAACAAGGAAGAAGAGGCAGCGGAAGGGGCGGCTCCCACTCGGGAGCTCCAGGCTTGGGTTTCTCCACGAGGATGGGAAGTACTTACCGGGCCTCGCTCGCCGAAGTGGGTGTGGAAGCGGGCAAAGGCCAAGGGAAGAAGTCGATGGGGGGGGGAAATGGCGCCGTCTTTCCAGTTTCCAGCCAGAAAGATCCGAGGAGCAAAAAAAGCCGCGGCACTCGGTAGTTGCCAGCTGTTTACTTTTAGGTAGAAACTGGGGGCTACCGGGACTGGAAGGCGGTCAGGGATAGATCATTTGGGGTGGGTGGGTGTCTGTTTGGTCCTGAACAAAAGTGACCNAAAAGTGACCCTCTTTTTTTTCTGTGCTTGCCAATTTGTTTCCCCCTCCCCATCCACCTCCGTGAAAAGTCTTGGCTAAGCAAGGCATCCGTTTCAGCGCCCTGTACGAGGATCTGCCGACGGAGAGGGTATAGGATTGAACAGAAGCCTTGGTAAAAAGCCGCAAGAGGCTGCCAAACCCCCATTTAGGCTGTTTCAGAAGCTTAAGTTCAGGGTCAGTTGTGATCAGATGCGAAAGATTCAGGAGCTCCCTCGACAGATCTCGCGAACAGCCTCCTGGCGGTGGGTACCTGTTTATGATCCTGCTACATAGGACAGTTCGCCATCCCTTCAGTGTTTAGTTATAGACATTAGGCATCTGTGAAGGACAAGAGGCGAGTGTGCCGTCCTCAACGAGAGAATATACAGGAGGAGACTCACGGGTGCGCAGAAGGCGATGTTAGTAGATAGAGAAGGACGAAGGGGAGGAGAAGAAAGCTTTGCACGTAGTATGTATGTCTAGCAGAGGACAAGAGGGAGGAGGTTATAAAAGAAGGGGAAGAGGCGCGGGAATTCAGGGTGGTAACGGAGGAGACTGTCAGATACACCAGGGATTGCGCGGTGGAAACAGAAGATGAAAGAGACGCCCTTGATAAGGTTAGAGATCTGACAGGAGTTCCCTAATCTAAAGATGGGTGGGGGATTACTCCCAGATCCCAACATCCCAAAGATAGAAGGAAAAAAGATCACACCCCTGGAATGGACCATGGTGGTTTACCCCCGCAACCAGGATGGGGGGAGAAAGGTGATTTTGTGCCAGTCCCTATTTCAGCAACCCACCACCCAAAGGGGACTGGGCGAGATCCTTGCTGCGGAACGGTCTGCGCAGTCAGGAGTACACCTTTGCGGGCGATGACCGATTGGGAGCTTTTTGGTCCGGCCCTGATGTAAATAGTAACCTGTTCACTCTGGAACGGAAGACAGAGTTATAAGACTTTACCAGAGTTAAGTTGTTTTGACGCGTTCAAATTAGTTGATGTTGGAATTACTGAAAATAAAAAGGAACCTGTTCAGTTTTTAAAATCATCTGTCTCTCATTCCCGCCAAATTGAGGGAGCCGCCACCAGTTTTTGAAGAACCCGATCACAGCATCCTTCAGTCTCAAGACTATGGTAACGTGCAACGTATGGAGGAATTGGAACAGCGTCTAGTGTGTCTGAAAAGGCCAATTCGAGATAGACAATCCCTTCCACACTGAAGACAAATCCAATCTGTTTCCTGTCTAGCTCCCTGATTTTGCTACTTCCGGGACTGCCTCTTTGCCTTGGCCTGCTGGACAAGGGTCTCTTCAAATTGGGAGAGGCCGTGATGCACCGCCTGCCTCCAGGTGAACCCTCAGATGTCAGGGTTTCCCATCTGTTGAGGTCCATTCCTAAGGCCTTCAGATCCCGCTTGCAGATGTCCTTGTATCGCAGCTGTGGTCTCCCTCTCGGGCGATTTCCCTGCACTAATTCTCCGTACAGGAGATCTTTTAGAATCCGACCATCAACCATTCTCACAACATGCCCAAGCCAACATAGACGTGTTTAGTAGATGGGTGAATACACTGGACAGGCATGGAGAGGATGTGGCACTCACAAAATCTGCGTAATGTGGAGGGAGGGAGGGTCTTTGCTCTCTGCCTTTCATGCACTGCATTACCAAAAAGTGTAACAACCCTGTAAAATGAACTTCAAAATAAGTGTTTGAACCCAAAGCTGAGCAATGTAAAAGGGTGGTTTTTCAGGAAAATGTAGACTTCATAACTCCAGCATGGTGAAGGCTTTACCATTGTGTGCAGGGGATGGGGAGGACATGTTTCCTCTTTTGGTTCAACTCTGAGAAATGGAGGAAAGTATTCACACCGAACTGGTAATTTCGTTGAATAAACAGTAGGGATATGGCCATTTCTGTGTACTTCTGATTCAAAATACAGTGGTGCACCGCATAGCGACATTAATCCATTCTGGACTAATCGTTGCTATCCAGAAACATCGCTAAACGGAACTAAAAACCCAATTGGAATGCATTAAACTTCGTGTTCTGTAGGTTGTTCTTCCTAACGTTTCGCCAGTCACTGTGGCTAGCATCTTCAGAGGATAGGATAGCAGTTTGTTTGGGAGTTTCAGTATTTATGGCTGTGAGATCAGCTTTTGTCCTTTTTCAGGAGACGGGTGATTATGGTGATCAGTGTGTTTTTGTTGTGGGTGTATTGTTGTGATAAGGAAGAGAGATTATGTGTCACTGTGATTGATGAGTGTTGTTAGCTGGTCTTTTGTGTGTAGTGGTCACCGGTCCTTGTGGCTGGGTAGAGTTTGTTGACCTTTTGCACGTATTTTTCAGTGTGTTTGTGGAAGTTCTGCTGGTGTTTGTGGATTTCAATGGCTTTCCTGTGCAGTCTGTCATAATGATTGCTGATGTTGTCCAGAATTTCAGTATTTTGAAATAAAATTTCATGTCCAGCTTGTTTTAGGGCATTTTCAGCTACTGCCGATTTTTCTGGTTGTTTTAGTCTGTTCTTTGATTCTGGTGTGAATGCTTCATTTTGTGGTTCCAATATATACCTGGCCACAACTGCAAGGTATCCGTATACTCCTGCAGTGGTGAGGGGGTCTCTTCTGTCCTTTGCTGACCCTAACATTTGTTGTATTGTTGTGGTGGGCTTGAATACAGCACAGGGAAGCCATTAAAATCCACAAACACCAGCAGAACTTCAACAAAAAGGAAGAAAGTTTGAAACTCAACAAAACTTGGCTCCCAGCACTGAAAAATACAGTGTGCAAAAGGTCAACAAACTCTACCCAGCCATAAGGACCGGTGATCACTACACACAAAAGACCAGCTAATGACATCCATCATTCACAGTGAGAGATAATCTCTCCTCCTTATCACAACAATACACCCACACAAAAAAAACACTGATCACCATAATCACCACAGAGACTGGCAAAACGTTAGGAAGAACAACCTTCAGAACATGGCCAAAGAGCCCAGAAAACCCACAACAACCATTAGATCCTGGCTGTGAAAGCCTTCGCGAATACACTTCATACTATTTCTTCATCTTTTTTTATAGTAACTAGGAGTACCTACAAGGCTGCTGTGAAAGTCAGTTCTCTTGATCAAAGTCCCCATCCCAAAGGTGCAGTTGACTACATATGTCTCTTCAAAGGAATGAATCCATCCCATTCCAGGCCAATGATATGGAAGTAGAGTAGGCCTCTTGGAGGAGGTGGTTGTGGATAAAAGTAAGACACATAATGAATACACTAACAAAATGTTTTGAATTATTGCACATTTTATATTACATGTATAAAATATTTAGAATTGTCTTCTCTAAAGCTTGTACAAGTCAATTTAATTCAGAAATTGAGCAAAATCTGGGTCACTAAATACAAAGCAACAGGCTGAGAAGGAATGTGTGAATTCTAGGTGTTCCTCAATGTCTTTGTTTTAAAAAAAAAACAAGGGTCACTGAGTGCAGGGCCTTTCCAGATGATGGAGGATTTCTTTCTTTCTATGCTTGAATCATTATGCAAACTGCAGCTCAGTTAATGCAGAGGATTTCAAGTGTATTTTTTCAGAGTGCCATGCTACAGAGATACTGATTTCCCCAACACTTCTTTTGACACTACCAGACAAATACAGTTTTGCTCTCCCCACACTTGCAAGAGAGCAATACAAGGGCACTTGGAAAGTGGAACAGGGCTGTATGAGCATTTAAATAGTGCCCATGTGCCTGAGACAGTGACAAAGTTTTATTCATGAGTGTGGAATTCTGTAAATTTATTATAATGTTTTCTCCCTTCCCAATCTTTCAGATGCCACACAATCCCCATTATAACATTTAATCACAGGCTCACTAATGCAGCACTTTATATACTGTTTGTAAAACTCATGCCTCATCTTGTCATAGCAAAGCCCTGTTCTTTGGCATACATTTTTCTGTTTCCTTTTCTTTCCTTTGTACTTAATACATACTATCAATAGCCCAACCTAAGTCCCCGCTTTTAGGCTGGAACAAAGCTGCATTGCTGGCAAAGACTGAAGCTGGCATAAACAAGTAAAAACTAAAACTAGAAGAACCCCTAGAATAATTCAAAAAAAGGTTTGGTAGGATCCATACACTTTGGTCTTAATACTTGAGTAATGAATCACGATACTGTAAGAAAGTTAAGCTTCTATGTCCCTTATTTCCCCCTACTCATTCTAAAGATGAGTGCAAAAATGTATCAAAATACAGTAGGTCCCACATATCTGCAGGGCATCAATTCCAAGCCCCTGTTCTGTGGATGCTGAAAACCAAAAACACCGGTGAACACTGTTGTAATAGAGAAGGCTATACATAGCATGGTCTCTGGCTCCCTCTAGTGGCCAGTTATTGGAACTACATTGTTAGAAATACATATTTCTGGGGTTTTTAATATTTTCAGACTGCAAGTAAGTGAAACCGCAGATTCGAATCCCATGGATATGGGGATCCTACTGTACTAAAAAAAAATCAGCAACTAAAAATCTTTCATTACCCAAACTCTGGCTTTACCCCTCCCATATAGCTGCTTTTGATGCATGTTAAGGAGGAGATGAGGTTACATATGGCAGTTTGTGCAGCAGCCACACAGTTCGACAGCACATGAACTTGGCCTTTAGTGATGTATCTGAAAGACACAGTATGTAAACCAGCTTCTACGAAGTAATGAATACTATACAGGTAAGCATTCTTAAAAGAATAAAAAACCATTCATCTTTGGATATTTCTCTGTACTTTCCATGTGTACCAAGGCTGACTCCACTATCCAAGGGAGAATGTCTCACATGCAGACATGTGCTAAGTACCCCCTACTTCTCTGAACATGAGACACCAGGTGTATTTTTAGAAAATATGCAAGGAAAAGTAACATAAGAAGCAGACCTGAGAAACCCTGCTTGAGTTAAACATGTAAGGCACAGAAATAGCCACCTCAGGATTAAAGAAACAGAAACAGTGAATTCCTGAACAAAATGTTAAAGGCACTTCAATACAGAGTAAAGCGCAACCTCATAGTGTTCCATTAAGACCAGGGTTCAGAATCTGATCTGCTTTCTTGATTGTTCGGAAACCACTATTTTGATGTCTTAGGCCTTCAGCCTTTCTCCCTTTATCCTAGGAACAGTGTCTTTAATTCCTTGCAGTTTTAGAAGTGTTTGCGCTTGAGGGTGGGGTCTGAGATGGTAGCAAATGCAAATAAAACTAGGAAGATCATGTCTGCTGAACTCGAAGCACCAATAGTTGGTAGAACTTTGGATAGAGCTTGGGTGGCAAGGTTAAGAAACAGGTAGACAGGAAATACAGGCATCCCAAGACTCCTTCTATCAAGAGTCAGCACCACAGAGGATTCTTCCACTAATGAGCCCCAGAATTAAAGTGCTGCATCTGAAAACATGAAGGTGTTTGGATGATAAATGAGGCTTCTTTGACAAGTGACCTGATACCAACTTAAGACAGGGCACTTTCAAGCAGCAATACATAATTAAAAACAGTATAGTTATTGCTCTCAGCTCCTTCACTGAGGAAAGGATGCAACACTTGAGAAAACAAACTAGGCTGGCAAAGGATTAAGACATTTAAGTACTTTTGGTCCCAAAGAAATTAAGGCCACTGTAAAAAGAGACTCCCCCTGGGAGGAAAAGACATTCCCCACCCACCCCTCTTTTGTAGCCAACGCCTGATGCCAAGCACTCAAAAGTCTGAAGAAAATACAGGGCCCTTTTTCCTGGAGATGCAATGAGCCCATGGCTACAGCGGGGCTCAAAATCAACTCCTGTGGTAAGGCTTTTTAACTATCCCAGATGCTTAACTGGAGATGCCGGGAATCACAGCTTGTACCCTGCCACCTCCCTAGTACCATGTCTCATCAAATGGCAATATACTATATTTTCTACCCCTAGCTCCACATGTTGAAGAAAATCTTCTGAAGTAAGGGCCCCTGGAGGGACATGGTGTGAGTGTGTGTGAAGTACAGAATGCCCATGCTGCTATCGGGGCTGTACACACCTCAAATAAATATGGGCGTTGATCACTCTCTAAGGCATGTTCATGGTAATCCCCTTTCATCTTCTAGGGGGTGGGGCATTGTTGAAAGTCCCAGCTTGTCCTGCCTCCCGCAGAAGCCCTTATGCACCCACGAAAGGAGTCTCCCAGCAGTCACCCTACATCATGGCCAGGTTCTCCAAATGGCTGTGCACATGGGACATGCTCGGTGAGTTGCTCTCCACTTTGTAGCTTTTAGGAGTCCGCCTGGCTTTCAGAAGAACCAAGAAAGTGTCTGTGGAGATAGCTCCAAATTCAGCCGTGAAGGTGCCGTAGAAGACCAGGACATTTATTATAAACATCCATTCACAAAGAGCAGCCACGTGTTGAAGGATGAAGCTCTGCTGGACAAAAAAGACACCACCTGAGGGTGCCAAAGTCAAGGCAAACAAGATGGGAAGGCTGGTTCTCATGAAGAAGCAATAACAGGGAGGGAAAGCACCACAAGCACATGGTAATCTAACTAGATTTGCAATTTCCCATCTTTTGAGCACATTGTTTGATAATGCAAAACTATCCTGTTCTACACTGTAAACCCAGTCTGAATTGTAAGTGGTACTTGAAAAAACAATTCGGCATTACGAGCTGGGTAGGTAGATTCCAAGCCTATTATTTCTGAATATCATGTAACATCACTTAAATAGTAATAAATATAGGAAAATAAAATTGGGATGTGTGGGTTACAGTAGTTTAGACGTGCATTCTATTTTGAGGACATGAATGCAAAGCAGATCCTGTTCTCGTATTTGTCTAACTTCCTAGATTTTCGGAAAACCAAAAACTTGCTAGAGCCTCTTGGAGCAGTGGTTAAACTGCAGTACTGCAGCCAACACTCTCTTTACAACCCAAGTTCAGTCCCAATGGGCTCAGGTAGCTGGCTCAAGGTTGACTTAGCCTTCCATCCTTATGAGGTTGGTAAAAGGGAGGTTACTTACCTGTAACCATGGTTCTTTGAGTGGTCCTCTGTGAATCCACACAAATGATTTTAGACTGCACTTGCACAGGACTCCTTGGAATATTCTAGAGCTTAAAAACGTGATTAGTGGGACATTTCCCTGTGGCGTGCATGCTCCACCCGCCCATAATACCTCAGTTCTGAAATGTCTGCCACTATCAAGGATTAAGACATTTAAGTACTTTGGTCCCAAAGAAATTAAGGCCACTGTGAAAAGAGACTCAAGAACCAAGCTCAAGAACCAAAGTGATGGACAGCGGGAAGGATGGGCGGTGTGTGTGGATTCACAGAGGACCACTCGAAGAACCATGGTTAAAGGTAAATAACCTCCCTTTCTTCTTCCTGGCCTCTGTGAATGCACACAAATGGGTGACTAGCAAGCTCACTTACCAGAAGGAGGACTGTCACACCAACAATGACTTCAGCAGAGCCCTTCCGAAATTTGCTTCCTTCTTGGCCCTGAGGTCCGGACAGTAGTGTGTCACAAAGGTCGATGGTGCGGACCAAGTGGCTGCTCGACAAATGTCAGAAACATCAACACCACACAATAATGCAGATGAAGTAGCCATAGCTCTCATAGAATGCACCTTTAATACATCTGGTCGAGCTTTGCCAGCCAGTTCATAGGCCAAGGTGATAGTAGACACGATCCACCTAGAAATCATCTGTGAGGAGGCAGGAGAGCCTTTATGTGAGCCATGGAACCGGACATATAGTCTAGGGGAAGTGCGGAAGTCTTTAATCATTGAAGTGTAAAATGCTAAGGCACAACGAACATCCAAGGAATGGAGCATACATTCAACATCCGAAGAAGAATCAGGGAATAACATTGGAAGAATCAAAGGTTGATTAACATGAAAGCTTGATACAACTTTGGGAAGAAAGGAGACATCAGGACATAAGACAACCTTGTCTGGGTGGAATTGTATATAAGGAGCACCAGCCCAAAGGGCAGCTAATTCACTCACTCGTTGTACAGAAGTTATTGCCACAAGAAATAGCGTCTTGAAAGAGAGGAGCTGAAGATCCGAAGAAGCCATTAGCTCAAACAAGGGGAGAGTAAGAGTTCATAACACGACTTGAAGGTACCATTGAGGCAATGGAGGTCGGACAGGTGGGCGAATATTACGTAAGCCCCTTAAAAACATCTTCAAGGTCGGGTGTGCGAACAAGTGGGAGGCTTCTGAACCCGTAGGCTGGTAAGAGACGATAGCAGAGATATAATTTAGTGTAGAATGGGACAGTCCTTGGTCAAATAGGTAGCACAGAAAGACAAGAAGAGTATCCAACGAAACTGGAACAGGCAATAGACCTCTAGAGGCAGAGAACTTAGAAAAAACATTTCATTTGTAAGAATACAACAGCTTGGTGGAGGGTTTTCTGGCTTTGTCCAAAACCTCTGCTATACCAGGGGAATCCTCCAAGCTGTGAGGTGGAGTGACTCCAGGTCGGGATGGCAGACCCTGCTGGCATCCTGGGTCAGAAGAAATGGTTTGGGATGCATCCTCAGGAATTTCGAAGCTGAGGATGGTAAACCAAGGTTGTCAAGGCCACCATGGGGCCACTAGAATGGCACTGGCATTCCTGACTAATGTTCACTGAATTAGTGGGATGGGAGGGAACAGATAAAGGAGACTGTAACGGAACCCAAAGTATGACGTCATTCCTGCATGTCAATCAGGGGATGGAGCAGGAGGGGCGGAGTCAGAATGACAGTTGGAACAGCTGGGTAAGACAGGAGTTGGAATCAGAGAGAGAGATAGGTTTAGAGAGAGTTAGGGACCAGAAGTTATTGAGAGAGTGCTAGGGTTTAGGAATAGTTAACAGGGGTTATGAAAGGAAATTGAAAGAGTAAAATATATTGAACAAGCAGGAATGAATGTCTAAGTATAACAAGAGAAATATTGACATGATCTGATATACGTTAACACCTGATTTATTATACATCATACATATGAAACAGTTATATTTGATTCTCCTTATGATTTGTTCAATAATAAAAGAGTATTTATTTAAAACCCTTGATTCCTGAAATTGTATGACCCTTTGGGGTGACAGCTCCTGAGTGTGTGGGATTTGATTTGGTATTAGTATAATACCTGGTGGCAGCGAAAAGGGCGTATTTACCTTTGTGGAGCCCAGAGGTGTATAGGGCACAAAGGGGGATCGCCACAGAGACCATCTTCCCAATTCACCATGAAGGCATCACCAAGGGAATTCCTACCTCTTCCTGCTCAAGAACAAAACTTGGTGCATTTGGAGTTGTCCTGGGTTGCGAACATGTTGATGGTTGGAATTCCCCATCGATTGCAGATCTGAGGAAAAAATGGAGTAGTTGAGCTCCCATTTGTGAGTTTGAATGGACAGGCGACTCAAACAGTCGGCGATATTGTTGTCTTCTGCTGATACATGAATGGCGATTGGAAAAATATGGTGGTCGTAACACCATTCCCAAAGATGAATTGCCAAATATAGGGGTGACAACGAGTGGGTGCCTCCTTGTTTGTTGATATAATACATGGTTGTGGTGTTGTCCGTGGCCACCTGGACCCCTCAGCCTACTATTAGAGGATAAAAGGCGCGAAACGCCTTAATAACTGCCAGCATCTCTAAATGGTTGATATGAAGTAGTTTTTCTGACTTGGACCACAGGGCATGGATTTTGTGAGGGCCATGGTGTGCACCCCAACCTGTTGGGCTGGCGTCCGTTGTAACCTGGACTATCAGCTGAATGGACCAGAAGGGCTTACCCACTAGAAGGTGAGGCACGAATGTCCACCATGTTAACTGACTCGTGAGCTCTGGAGTTACACGCAGACACTTGGTAGGTCTGTCCATTAAAGGATCGAATTGAGACAGGTACCATGCCTGTAGAGAGTCCATTTTCAGCCGCACATGTGGGAGAGCAGATGAAGTTGAGGCCATGAGACCTAGAAGATGCTGTGTATGATGGGCAGAAACTTTGGCATAAGGACAAAAAGGGTGGATCACTCAGCGCAGTTTCTGAATTCGTTCAAGAGGAAGGAAGACTCTGGCCTTGACTGAATCTAGGCACACAGCAATATAGTCCATGATCTGAGACTGTTGGAGATGAGACTATGCAAAGTACTCTGGCCTTGACTGAATCTAGGCACACACCAATATAGTCCATGATCTGAGACTGCTGGAGATGAGACTATGATCTGTAGGCCTAGATCTGCCAGAGTCCGGATGGCAAAGTTGGTATCTTCTAGCGCTCTGCTGTAAGAACCAGGATGATCAACCAATCGTCTATATACAGAAAAACCGTGATGTTGTGAAGACGAAGATAGGCTGCTACAGGGGCCAAACACTTTGTAAAGGCTCTTGGGGCAGTGTCAAGCCCGAATGGTAGGGTGCAGAACCGGTAAGCTGACCCCATGAAGAAGAAACTGATATATCTGCGATGACGCTGGTGAATGGAAATATGAAAATAAGCATCCTAAACGTCTATAACCACGAACCAATCACCCCAAGAGAGAAGTGGAATGACAGATTCTAGGGTGACCATACGGAAACGTCTTGGATGAAGGTAAGTATTGAGTAGTCTGTGTGGGTTTCAGATGAGATTTTGCAGTGTTCACCTTGAGGCCCAAGCTTTGCAAGATGTCAAGGGTTAATTCCATAGCTCTGACTGCACCGTGGTACGAAGTATGACTATAAGCTAGTCGTCGATATACGGGAAAATAGTGACGCCCTGGAATCAAAGATAGGCTGTTATTGGTGCCATGCATTTGGTGAATATCCTCTGTGCCATGGAGAGTCCGAAAGGGAGGGAACAATATTGGTATGATACTTTGTCGAATCTGAATCAAAGAAATTTGTGATGGAGAGGGTGAATGGAAATATGGAAGTAGGCATCTTGTAGATCGATAACGACGAGCCAGTCTCCCTGTGAAAGGAGGGGAACAACAGTGTTGAGAGTTAGCATTCAAAACCGTTGAGATCTCATAAATTTGTTGAGGTTCCTGAGATTGAGGATGGGGCGAAGTCCTCCGTCCTTTTTAGGAACCATAAAGTATCAGGAGTAGAATCCTTCATTCGATGAAGATGAAGGAACTACGAATATGGCTTGTTTTTGTAAGAATGAGGATACCTCTTCATGAAGATGCCTGAGGGTGGGGTATGGAAGAATTCAATAAAGTAACCATTTTGAATGATGGATAACACCCAATTGTCATTAGTAATCTTTTTTCATGCTGAGATGAAAGGGTAAAGCCTTGTTTGGAATACAGATGGTAAAGAGCTATGGGTACTGCTTACTCTTCCTCTATTCTCTTCGAAAGAGTTGTCATCAGCATGGTGATTGCTGGGGTCAAAAGGGCTGAGTTGTAGGTGTCGATGCTGCTGGATAAAATCTTTCCTGAGGTTGCGGCTGAAATTATCGATATGATTGTTGAGATGATAAGTATTGTTGTTGGTAATAAGATTGTTTGTGATACTGTGTCCTTTGGTAACGGTAAGGTTGTTGAGGTGTGTATGAACGTGCTGTTTTTCTGATCTTAAAGATATTTTCGATTAGCTCATTGGTCATCAAATGGGAGGTCCTCTATTCATGTGTTGGTGTCATCTAAGATGTTTGAGGAGCGCAACCATGCATGTCATCTATAGGTAATGGAAGTAGTCATTGCCTTAGACACTGCATCTGCTGTATGTCTTGCAGCTATTCTTTGTTGCTTTGCCAGTGTAGACGCTTTAGTATACGTGCTGAGTATTTCATTTCTAGTGGCCTCTGGTGCCACTTGAAGAGCAGGCAAGATTTTATCCCATAGTTGTCGATGGTAGGTGCCCATGGCTGCCTGGTAGTTAGCTACCCTCAGTGAGTGAATACAGCCTTCTACCGAGGATATGAAGTTTACAACCTTCTCTATTGGTTGCTGCAACGGATCGAGTATTTAAGGAGAAACGCAATATCTGATCCATGTGTTTTATAATGATTTCCGACACGGCATTTGAAGAGATGAAGGGGGCTTGTCCCATGACTCCTTAATAAGTTTGAATATAGCTGGTATGAAGCTTAAGCTAAGTGGCGGAGTCTTGTCTTGAGTTAGATAATCAAGAACTAGATCATTTTTCTGAGCAGGTGGTTCTTGAATGTCCAATTGTAAAGATTTAGCCACCCTGAGGATTAGCTGGGAGTAGGAAGTAAAGTCCTCTGACAGTGATGGAGGGTGGTTTTCTCCAACATCGGATGGAAGGGTAGGAAGGTTCGATGGTGATTCTCGATATATTGTGGAGATCAAGTCCTGAGATGATGTTGATGATATAGAAGGCGAGCGGTGTGATTTGGAGGTTGATGTCAACGGTATTGGATCGCGTGATGAAAGAGCTGGTATCGACTATATTTCGGTGTCGGTGGGTGGAAAAGGATCTGCTTAAGGTCGTGGATACATATAGAGAGATATGTTGTTTTGATTGTTTAGTTCTCTTTGTTGGTATCGGAGTCTCTGGTATTGGAGTGGATCTTTTAAGTACAGACCTTGTCGGTTGATCGGTTGGTGCCAGATATGTGTGAACTGATTGTTGTCAATGTCTTGGTGGAGATGGTGACATGGATGGTGAGTGCCATGATGGAGAGGCATACCGAATTTGTCTAGCTTCATCATAATAAATTTGGTCACCATACATTTCCGAATAATATGGGTCATAATAGCATTGCCTGTGCCTGTAATCAGGTCTGGCAAAATATTGATGCAGTTCTGCATAGTAATACCTTTCTCCGTGTCGAGGAACATGCCAAGACCCAGAAATATGCAGTCTTTTTTCTTGGTGTATGCATGGGGAGTATCGAGAAGACTCCGATCCCAATAGTTGAATAAGTATTGCTTGCCCTGATGAACAAGGGCTTGAATGGGCCATGGCCGGGCTGGGTTGAGCATCAGCCAGTGAATGGCCTGTGCTAGGCGATAGGCTAGATGTGGATGCTGCAGCCTGCGCCAATATCAGAGTCTGTTCATCCCTGTCAGATGTTGAGACAGGGGCTTCTTGTGATTCCTCTAAGATCAGAGAGGGAATCGTGACCTACTAGTTCAATACCAGTAGATTTTTATGTTTTCTTTGGTTTCTTTGATTTGATTTTATCCCTTTTCTTTTTTGAAGGATCATCGGAATGATTCTGAGCTCTAGAGATGGAAGTCAAGCTTGACTTTGAAGGTTTCAACGTTTCCTTCTGTCTACACGGAACAGGCATTGGGCTCGACATTGAGCATGCTGTCGGGCTCGATATGGAGCCAGCTGGGTCTGCTCGAAGTGATTCCTTGGCTGTTGGTGAGGCTATCACTTCCATGCTTGGATTGACAGATTGCTCCCAAAGATCTCAAGCATTGTAACCTTAATTTAAGTGCTGGTTTTATAAGTTTTTTTTTGCATTCAAGGCACGATTGGGTTTGATGTTGCTCCCCTAAGTAAAATAAGCATTTATCATGCCCCTCAGTCAGTGGTATTTTATTTGTGCAGATAACACACCACTTAAATGGTCCTGGAGGGGCCATAAATCTAGGAGAAAGGAGAAACTGGCGGTTGTGGGGAGGGGGGGAGTGAAAAAAGCAGGAAAATGGTAAACTGTCAAATAGAGAGAAAAAATACAGGGTAATCATAAGGGGACGTCAAAAATAGTAATTAGAATCTAAATTTACAATTATCAATTAGAAAATATAAACAATTCTATTTGAGAATACTCTGTATTTCACTCTATTGTTCTTATACGTCCTACCAACGTGGCTGTAAAAAGGAACTGGGGGGACATTGGGATGGCGGAGCATGTGCTCCTATGGGAACGTCTCCCGGTCACATA